TGGTTGGTTGGTTGGTTGGGTTGGTTGGTTGGTTGGTTGGGTGGTTGGTTGGTTGGTTGGTTGGATTTGGGTTGGAATTTTTTTCTCGTTGAACAAGAAATTGCCATAGTTCATCGTTTGGATATTTGTCAAGTTAAAACCTTCCCATCGACCATTACTTTTTTGCATGTTCGTTGTTGTCATCCAGTTCATGTTTTATTCGATTCGCACGTGCCCGGAAATATTTGAACTTTGTACGATTGAATATTTTCTTCTTTTGGTTGCTGTTGACAAGCTTGCCCTATTTCAATGGGATTGTAACCAAGTTTGAAGGAGACCAACTGGATGTTTCATTAATATATTCTAATGTCGAGAACAAATTACTCAAGAAACAACCCAATCCGGATAATGCACTTATCTAAATGGCGCGAAAAGTAGCCTGAGCCGAGGTTGTTTAGCCTTCTTGGGAAATGTCTGTTAATTAGCTTTAAAACATTTCTTGAGCACGCCTTAATTAAACGTTAATCATGCATGTTACCTTTTGCAACTTTCGTATTATAAAATTTCGCATGGAAAGGGCTAGGGTAGGACAGTAACTAGTCAAGGACGGGCACCCCAAAAGTCAAGGAAGAGGGCCCAATTTCCCCAGAGCGGTACACGAAATGCTGAAATTGCAGAACGTGTTAAATATTAAGAAATATTGCGAAAAATTGAGGTTGAAATAGTTCTGATAAACGTATCTTCAACTCCCCATTATACCAAAAAGGGGTTGGAAATTTTTTTGGGACGTTTTATTTTCGCTAGAAAACGTCAACCTTACCGTTAGTTTTGACCTTGGCCACCAACCAGATATTGCTCGGTACGTCCCAAGAAAGGGCACTATCAATTTATATTATTTATTTATTTATTTATTTATAAACTTTACAATCGACAAAACGATTGAAGGTACAGACAACAGGACTGTGGAGTCCCAAGTTAAGTCCTACCTACATATTACATTCACATTGTAAAACAATAAAGACAGGTTACAACTTTAACAAAGCTACAATACAAAATTATAACACACGATCAATGCGTTCCAACAATCCTTACACTTTCCTGTCTTTCCAAAGTTAAATATGAACTAGGCATGGACCGCCCATATATTGCAATCCTTACAAAATTACAAAAAAAGATTTATACATATAGTTGAGTCAACATTGTGCAGCACAGACACAGTTACAGAATACAGTAAACATCCTAAACATGCATGTGCTCCAAGCTGTCCCTGCATTTTCCAAAGATAGGATACAAAGAATATAGACCGCCCGGGTGTTGTTTTTATCTGGGCATTTAATTTATTCAAACAGTCTGAAACAAAAGACATTTAGGAAATGCAAAGACAGCTTGGATCTTTTAGAAAACCTTAGGTCGATTTTGATATGTTTTATTCAAACAGACTGAAACAAAAGACATTTTGGAAATGCAAAGACAGCTTGGATCTTTTAGAAAACCTTAGGTCGATTTTGATATGTTTTAGGTATAAGTTAAGTGAGCCGATATTTCAGCTGAAAGTTCCAGGCGGTGAAACATGAGTGTATATGATATAAGGTCCCCATATGAGAACCTCTAATATTTTATAGTTGTTTGACAAATAGGGGAAAGAATATAACAAGACTGAAGATACCAAGTCTGCCCTAAACGTTACAACAATAAAGAATTTATGCCTTGGCAATTATCTTTGAATTTTAACAATAATTTTATATCAAAGAGGAAAAAATGTATAACAACTCCAACTGCTCTTTCTCTCTTTAGTACATAGCACCTTAACGTTCTTTTTATTAACATAATGCTATCATCTTATTTTGAAGTTCCAGCGCCGAAGCCAACATTGCCGAGCCAACCACCGCCGAAGCAACCATCTAAAGCAATGACGACAGCCGGCTTCACAATAGCTGCCATTCTTGGAGGAATTGTTATCATGTCTTTGATATATTTGTGGAAGAAACGCAAAGGTAAAAGTGCATATTATTCGCCTCGTGCATGATCATTCATGCTCGCTTGATCAGTGTAGCCAGACTAATTTGCACGACAAATTTCGGAAGGTTTTTATAATGTTTAGCCAGTTTATAATATTTTCTCAATGTGAATCCTTGTACGTACATCAGTCAAAAACGTATTACTCAGTCTCTTTCCAATCAATTTAATGTGGGCGAGTAGTATATTACATGCGAATAAATTGAGTAAATATTGATAAAAGATGCTTTATGTCCATAAAAAGGCCTCTCTATTATTTATCACTTATAATAAGTAATACATATATTTGTATAAGCACTAGAAGGCTGATACCTTAAATTTTATATAAAGTCGATCAATACTTTTTAGGCGATCTCGATGAAGAAACAGCACTTGGAATGGAGAATAAAAAGATTCAGGATTCTCGAATTGCATCATCAAGCTTTTGGACCGGATTACCAGCACAAGAAGGGAGACTGAATGGCGCTACCGCCTGGTCTGCAAATGAAAACGATAAGAACCAATGGATTCAAGTTGATCTTGGCAAAGAGAAAGTTGTCACAGCAATTGCCACTCAAGGTCGAAAGAATGCAGACCAATGGGTGGGGTCGTATTTTGTGTCTTACAGTTTGGATAGAGAAAAATTTGAGCGTTACCAAATTAATGGAAAAGACGAGGTAATAAAGTTGAGAATTGTTGAGAATAGTTCTAAAAAATTTGAGAATACTGCAGCTGTAATTTTGGAGGATGACGAAAGATAAGATACAATGATTAAACAACACTATTGAGAAGGGTTTCTTTTAAGATTTTGTCCGTGGAACGGCTATTGAGAGAAGTAAGGGGATCCAACTAGGAAGTGCTGTACGAAGGATCCTGTAGGATGGGTCACTGGCCCATCCCTCAAATAATATTTTCGAGCCTTGCAGACTTGATATTTTGAATTCTTCAAAACAACTTTTTGTATTTTTCATCCTCTAAAATATAGACGAAGGGTCGGTGATGGGAATACTAACTAAATCACTCTTTTTACTTATTATTCGTCCGTTCACTGGGTCACGGGAGAGGCCAATGTTGGCGCTGGAGGAACTTGCCCCAGACTATCTTTGTGTTAAAAGAGGACTTGTTGTCGAGTCAAAAAGCCAAAGAAGTTTTATTAGACAATGTATTTGATTAGTTAGTTTCTTAAATTTGGCCTCGTGCTACCGATCTTTGCAATGCCACTAAACATTTTTCTGCGCAGATGTTCAGTGGAAATGATGACAAGAATACTGTGGTCACGAATGTGTTATCGCCACCAATAAAAGCCCGTTACATCCGCATACATCCCCAATCATGGTGCAATCATATTTCAATGAGGATGGAACTTTATGGCCGCAGTACGTCGAACTGGCCAAAAGGTACTGTAAAATTGGTGCTCGAGACTATATACATCCGCCGGCGAAATTAAGTCATGTATCATGAATAACTTATATACACTGGGCTAGTTATGCATTCTGTTTTCTCTTCTGTCCGGAAAAACAAGATAAACATTTGCAAATTTATTATCCAATCTTAATTCAAATTTATATTTTGTGTTCAATGTATAGACTACAGTAAGACTTTTTTTGAATAAATGTGTTGATTACATCAACAAACGGCGTTTCGGAGATTTACTCTATCTTCATGTAGATAAGATGCAATATGATTACAATTTGAGTTTAAATTTAAAAAAGAAAGTCTTACTGTGGTCTATACATTGGACACAAACTATATTATTAACATGAGGCTTAGAAAAAGTTCGTTCTTAAACATTTTGAATTCAAATTTAACCAAAATTTAGTCAATTTGCCATTGGAGAATGTCCATTAGTTCCACAAAGATTCGCGGAAAAAACCTCCTGGCGGAGGTAACAACTTTAACTCGGGCCAGCAGTAATTGGCAATTACATTGTTACGGATTCCCTGCCACTGTAATATGTACAAGGCGAATGAAATAAATTAAAATAAATAAAAAATAACTAAACGTCTGGATAAAATATTAACATGTCTTAGTTCTATGCATGTTGTATAACTCCCTATCGATAATTACGTCACAAGTCCTCTCTTGAGCAGGAAACCTCATGAATTATTAATGAGTTTTTGAAGGTCATATACAATATTAGATGCTGAAAATTGATATGCAGGAGGAATAAAAGCAATGAGAGTAACTAAAACCATGATTGATCAATGAACCCGAAATTTTCGGAATATTGGTTTATATTATTCTGTAAACTAATGGGTTTTGGAATTCAAAAATTGCCCCATTGGCTCTCTTTTACTTCAATCACTTGGGTTCAATCCAGAAGTTGCAACCCAATACTGCACCATTTCTATAATCATCTCATGAATTACCCCTTGGCTTGAAAGCCTAGCTCGCTCCCGTGAATCTAATCAAAATTCAATTCGCTGACGACTAACGAGAATGAGAAATTATCCAATCTTGAGTAAGAAATTAGTCATGTGCATGCGTCTTTATACCAGCTAAAGAACACTTGGACAAAAGACCATTGTTATGCAAACTATATAAAGATTTTTATATAAAGATTTTTATATAAAGATTTGACTTATTATGCAAACGTTTTTGAAGCCATTTAAAAAACTCGCAGGTCGTGTTTTATTAGGTCTAAATTCACTCGCGCTGCGCGCTCGTGGTTTTAAACCTAATAAAACACTCCTGCTCGTTTTTTAAATAGTACATGAATTGTTAAAGTTTTATTTGTTTACGTAAAAAATACGGCTAGGAGCCTACTACGAACCATTAGGCATTTTCTCTGCACCCTTATATTAAATATAGTAAAATTTTGTTTAATTAAATATAAATTATTAAACCAGTTCCTACTTCAACATAAATTGGGGGGACGCTTATGTATTCACGCGCATAACATAAAATTTCTCTATGAGTCCTAAAAACACTTTTGCCCTTAAGACTACCACGATATTCCCAATCAACAAATACGCATAATAGTAAACAAACAATTAAGCATCCACTGCACGTTTTTCTGAGCATTATGAAGTAATGACCTGAGCTTTTTATTTCCAAAAACTAATATGGATTAATCTTTCCATATAATTTTTCAGAGAACGTGAGAGTTTTTATTTTGAATCCAAATCACTGTGAGCTATGTACTGAAGTTGTGCAAACGCTGGCAGGATTACTGATGGAAACAGGACATATACGTTGTGAGGTTGACATTTTTGCTCCCATGCGAGAGAAGTGTCAAGGATTGGCACGTTGGACACAAGAAATGATTTTCAAATGTGATTACGTCATTATTCCATGGATGTGCGTAATAAATCAACCGAAAGAAAGTAAGATGTTTTTAAATTCCCTAAACAAAAGGACAAATCAGACTCCGGGAAAACGTTTTCTCCCAGATTTCAAGATTTCGGAAAACAAGAGGAAACACTAACAACTTTCAAAGCAATACTTCAAATGTAGAATTTGCAATAAATTGGAAATAGTACTTTAATTACTAATCTTTTGTCTCCTCTTGTGTGCATCAAATCTTGAGTTTCAACTTGGAAGGCGGCTTTATTCGTAGTTTGTTTCGCCTTTTGGCTGTATTTTATCAGGTCTAAAATACTTGCTTAATTAAATTCTTGGGTATTTTAGTGGACACAATCCACTCATTCCTTGACTTGCACATTTTTTTAGTAATCCCGTGTTGGGAGAACTTAGACTAGTAGCTGTGTATAATACCCAAAACTATCAACAGGCAAGGTAGCCGGGACGACGAGAGGGAAAGGAAGACAGAATTTCGTGAAGCACTTTATAATTTTTATAGGCCAGTACACAGGAAGGATGCGAAGTACTGGTGTTGAGGTGTCAAAAGAGTGGTGCCCTCCCCCCATATCTCCTTCCCCAACCTATACATATTCGTGGACAATAAAGCACGCTTCCATTCTGGCCAATTACCTCCGCGAGGAGGTTATGTTTTTACATACATGTACGTGTCTGTCTGTCTGTCTGTCTGTCTGTCTGTCTGTCTGTCTGTCTGTCTGTCTGTCTGTCTGTCTGTCTGTCTGTCTGTCTGTCTGTCTGTCTGTCTGTCTGTCAGCCCTTGCTCCTCTTGCCCATCCTGGTGAAGAGCAAGAGGCAGCTGCTTCTCTCGCCCCTACCCACAATTTCGAGTTTCCTGACTCTCCGTATAACATGCGGAGTCCCGATGAAATGCTATGTTTGTTTTTTGTTGAGATATGGCGGAAGTTATTTATGAAATATTTATATTTCCTACATTTCCTTACAGATACATGCATTAACATGAGAACTCTAACCTTTCTTTCATCGTTGGACATTATACACGGAGAACTGGTTCGAAATCGAAATAAAAGGGATAAATTTATTCCCGTGTGCTTGGATCATTGTCCGTTAGATATAATTCCTCCGGAGGAAGTACTTCTACAAATCTACAATATTCCATCCAAGATAGATGACTTGGTCATAGAACTGTTAGGGAAAACACGACGACCTGAACCTAACACAATTTTGGAATTTGACGATGAAGAATATATTACGGCAAGAAACAAACTAACGCAAGCTGTCAACAAAATGGAAAAGAATCATCCCACACGTTTTGGTAGGTTTACTGCTAAAGTTGCTTGAAATCTGATTGTTTTTTTGCGTAAATACAATATGAGTAATCGTGGAGTTGAGGATATCAAACTTCTCTGGATAGAAAAAAATAGAAAATTTTATTTTGATACTCTAACTACGCCAATTAAAACTATTGATTTCCACGAAGGCGTGTGTTCAAAAGTTATTACACAAAAATGTTCTTATGGTATTTTATAAAAAGATAGAAACAAATGTAACTGTTCCAATTGACAAAACTGACATTAATATAATTATTACATCGGTGATTATTGAAAATTCTCCACGCTGATTGGTTGTCGTTGATGTGATTAAGCGCGATAATCACCTAAGTGATTTTCGAAATTAATGGCGGCCGAAGCGGCGCCGTTTAGTCAATTAAATGACGAAGAAATGTGTATTCTTTATTTTTTCCCAAATAATCACCTATGAAATTATATTAAAACAATTATTCATCTCAAGCTTGGTGATTATCGTCAATAATTCCGATAATCACCACGCCTTCGGCGACTGGGGCGGATCTAGGATTTTTCGCACGTTAGTCAAAATTTTATGACGTCATCGATGACGCCAAACGTGATGACGTCATTTGACATGATGTCATTTGATATCAGGATGATAGTCCAATTTTTGTGGAAGTATAGATATTTTGTTTTATTAAACTACAAATGCGTAAATGACATAATTTTCGTACCTGCCAATGTTCAGCATATGATATATTAATATATAGACTGTTTCGCCCTACAGTGTATACCTTGGCTCATCAGCATGCCTAGGAAACACGTTTACCAAAAATAGTAAACCGCGATCCAACAAGGACAGCTCCTTGAAAAAGCTGAACACAAGCACAGGTTTCTGGCTCCTTAAAACCAGATTGCTTGCCTTCACACCTTTTACAAGAGCAAAGGGAGTTTGGCTAGAACTTAGAAATGGGTGACAATAAAATGAACAATGAACACCACCTAAAATGAGCAATCTGGTTTTAAGGTGCCATAAACCCACCTCACACCTTTCACCGCAGCAACAGGAGCTTGGTTAAAAATGGGTGACAATACGGGACATTTCATGGATGTGAAATTGCTTTGTTTTTCCCTTTAGCCCCTTCCCCAGTCCTCCTATTACTAACCTATGTCTAATCTAATTAAATTCATCATCTTGTTATATACTGTCCATGATGAAAATGTATAATATCACAAGTGAAATGGTGCCTCAATGCTGCAGCTTCAGTGGAAGCCAACTTTGATTGAAAACAAGTTTAATTACCTGGCATTTTAAACATATTTTAATCACAGTCGATTCAAATACAAAATATTTCATTACAAATGACTATTACTTTACTTATCTAGTTATCTGAAATATTAAATTGGCAAGGTTTTTAACACAGTATTCTATTATATTCCTATAATCCTATACTATGCTTACATACTGTATATAGACAGTCACATACTATCAACATGGAGTTTGTCTGTCAGCTAGGGCCTGAAATAATGTTCCCAAAGTGTTCCCGATCGTGGTGGTCGGCAGTCATGACTTTCCCTACTTTTTTAGGTTGGAAACCCTGCTTTTCCGCCGATCATAAGCAATTTCTTGCCTATTATTGATTAGTGATAAGTTGTTATTTCAAGCCCTGGTCTGTTGAAAAATTTAACTGGTTCAAGATGCAATGGACCTGTCTCAAGCCAATGAGATCAGACCCGATATTTGGCATCAGCTTTTGTCTACAAAGCCCGAATGTTTGGGGGGGGGGGGGGGGGATTATGGGAAGGTGGTGATCTTGAAAGGCTAAGTTTGGTTGATGATGAAGAACCAAACCCCAGGAAGTTTTTTCTCATGTCACTGTTGTGTACAAGAGTGAGGTTATTAATTGCTATTGGAGGCGAGAGTGGTCTTTTTGCAAGCCGAGATATTTAACTTTAACCACATGTTCCAGAAAATTTATCAATAACGTTTCCTACAGTACATATGTTAGGAATAATTTCCTGGTGAATTTGCATCATGACCAAGCCAAGTCATTTAATTTAAGTAGTCTTCAACCATAGTGCTTCGCTTATAGCCTTTTAGTGTCCTATAAGTGCCGAAATAGACCTTTCACACTTGCACTGTAAACATTTAAACTATCAAGGTCAAATTAGGTCATTGGTACCTGTCAATGCTTAGGAAACAGAGCTATACAAGCAATTGCCAGTTGCATCAGATCTAAAAATATAACCAAAGATTATATTATTATTATCTTTATAAAGTACATTTGCAGAGCTATTATCAGTCAATCAATACTCTATAAAGCATGTACACAATAAATATTTTTTATCCAACATGATCAAATATTTGAGATCAAATTTCTGCCACTTGAGGTGTTTTAATTTTATACACATAATGAATATGTATGCAGTATATAAAACTTTGGACCTAACCTCGCACAATTATGCAAATCGTACGTTCAATTCAACGATTTATTGTTCAAAATTCAAACCACTTTACCTTATTGCCATAATGCCATACACCTCTTTATAATCTCCTGAAATAGACGACGAGAATTCGAGAAATCAACACATCTCAGCTAGATAGTTTCGGCCAAGACAATTTTCTTGCATCCATCGAATTTATCTGCTTGAAATATTCTCCACAGAACACCAGTAAGCATTCCTTATCGTCACTTTCAAATAACGATCTAACCTTTTCGAAATCTACGTCGTTCATTTCGATAATAGTAAATAAATACAAACAAAATAATTTGCTTGTAAAATTGTACAGAACTGCAACAAAGCTACCAAGTGCACAATGCTTCCAAATTGAAGATTAGAAGGCCAATCAGAGGAGATGTTCTTTAACTCTTTTGCGCAAATTGTCCAATCAGAAGCTGCTATCTATTTGCAGAATTAGTCAAAATAGTCAAAATTTCGCAATCGTTAGTCAAAATAGGTCTGACCAATCAACATGCCTGTAATATGTAATCTGAGCAAATTTGACCAATCAAATCACATGAACTAAAACGCAGAATAGTCAATTTTCTTTTGAATACCGCTTATTTGACTTATCGTTTGACTAATCAATCGCTGGCTCAATGTGCAAAAAGTGACCGATGTTTATATGCTGGAGTGTGATAGAGTTTTGATTGCGTGATCAGAAATGAAGAGAAGTGTTTGCGCTGGGAAAAAATTCAAAAACCTTGGTCCAATTTTTTTATATGCCTTTTTTTTACGTTAGTCGCGTGACTAATCTGACTACCCCTAGATCCGCCCCTGTATAATTGTTAAATATAGACAACTAATTGTTAGCTAACTGTTTAGTTTACAATAAAGGATTTATATATAAAAGATATGTTATTTATTAACATGAGCAGCGATGTTTCTTTCAAATAGAAGTTAATAAAACTTCAAAACTATTGGCCAATGAGGTGCGTAGTTTTGATTTAAAATTCAAAACTACGCACCTCATTGGCCAATAAAATTAGAAACCCATTTAACTGTCAGAACTGTCAAACTGAAACTTGCAGTTTTTCACACGCCACTTGCAACGAATTGTGATCACGAGGTACACAAATATGTCATTCGTAATAGACAAAACTGTCACTGACAAACGGCCTAAAAACGGTCGTTTCGCAGTTTACTGGGAACAATAGTAATATAAACACAATTATACGCTTTGTATAAATCCAGCGTTTCTCTAAATTTGATTTTGTTCTTAAATCGGTGTGAAAACTTTTCAAAAGATTCAACTACAAGTTTGATTTTTCGTATAAAATAACTCGCAACTGTTTTATTAGATTAAGCAGATAAAACAGTACATGTGAATTAAGTTGAATGACAAGACTTACAGATACGTTTCTGCGACAGCTCAGCGGTTCAAGAGCATAGGTCTCCCGAAAAGGTCTTTTATTTAAAAAAATCCATACAATTTGCTTTAAAATACAATGCTTTGACATGCAATGCTTCGATGTACAGTAAAACCTCTATAATTTGTATTACATCAAGTACGTGCAACATCACAATAGCGTTGCGTCGTTATGTAATATATATCCCCAAGGTTGGCAAGTAAATACAAATTTAAAACTGTATACACAAACTTAATGACGAAAAAACTCGTACATAAACATCGAAATTCATTAAAAAAACTAACTCACTATGGTAAGAAATAACTGTAATACTTTTAGATTGTGTTTTTTTCTTCTCTCATCACTTTTAAACGAGTTAATTTTGCGAAAATTCCGAGGAAAATGGCTCAATTTGGTCAAAACTATGCGGGATGACTGCTCCCGGCGTTACGTCACAAAATAAAGCTCTTTGATTTGCTGAAAATGTTTAAAATTTCAAAAAAACTCTCCGATTGGCTGGCTGAAATTTCCCAGCGAATCAGAGAGCTTTATTTTGTGACGTAACGCCGGGAGCCATCATCCCGCATAGTTTTGATCAAATTGAGTTACGAATTTGATGAATTTTCCTTGGAATTTTCGCAAAATTAACTCGTTTAAAAGTGAAAAAACACAATATAAAAGTATTACAGTTATTTCTTACCATAGTGAGTTAGTTTTTTTTAATGAATTTCGATGTTTATGTACGAGTTTTTCGTCATTAAGTTTGTGTATTCAGATTAAATTTGTATTTACTTGCCAACCTTGGGGATATATATTACATAATGACACAACCACAGAGTAGAGACATACAGAGACGTAACTAGTGTACCCACTTTTTTGTGCGCATGCTCGGCAAGTTACTAGATGCATGCATCTGATTGGATGACGACCTGATGACGACTCACTTTAAACTTGCTGAGCACGCGCAGTTGATCATTTTTCGCCCGGTCGCCTGAAAAAAAGTGGGTACATGAAAACGTAATTTATAATAAGCTTCCGCAGTGTTTACAACGGTCAGTTACGTCTCTGTATGTCTTATCTACTCTGTGGACACAACGCTATTGTGATGTTACACCTACTTCATGTAATACAAAATATAGAGGTTTTACTGTACATTGAAGCATTGCATGTCAAAGCATTGTATTTTAAAGTAAATTGTACGGACTTTTTTTAAAATAAAAGACCTTTTCGGGAGACCTATGTTCAAGAGTTCGTTGAATCATTTCAGTCCGCGACACAACAAGTTGAAAATATTCAGCATGATAGTATAAAAGACAATGCTGAACGTAAATACATAAAAAAAAACACTCCAAAAGATTGGTTAAAATAAGTTAATTAATAGCATTAATTCGTACTCTTCGAATCGTGAAAAATTTAGGATTATAATGAAAAATTGGCGTTTTCTTTGCGGCGAAAAACGTCAAAAATCTTCTCGCTGTTTGTTTCAATATTTTTACAGAGTCGCGACGATTCCATCATTCCACGGAGTGAATCTAAAAATCGAGAGTTGAGATTAATATATATAGGTCGAGAGTCGAGAGTAAAACTCGAGAGTAAAACTCGAGAGTCGACAGCAAAAAGTCGAGAGTTGGCTGCAAAAAGTCGAGAGTAAAAGTCGAGACTAAAAGTCGAGAGTCGACAGCAAAAAGTCGAGAGTTGGCTGCAAAAAGTCGAGAGTCAACAAATGTAGTCATCAGAAACAACAAAGTCAAAATATTTTTAACACAATATAGGCTATAGCCGTTCCGTAACAACGGCTGATCTACAAACTTTCAGCGCATAAATGTAGCTACAACACTCAACAGTCGATAATAATAGCGTGAACAAAAAAGACTGGATAAGAAACTAATATCACATGTGATGCCTTTATCTTGCTAAATTTTTTAACATGTAATTTCATCAAATTTTGCTGCCTTTCAATGTAGACACATCGCTTGTAACTACCGTCGCTTGCAACTAAGGATAAACAGTCGCAGATAAAACATTGTCTATTCTCATGAGAAAGTTCAATGTTAGTACCGACAAACTGTCATACTTCAATGTTTGTGATGAGCATTTGATGGTTTCAGCGGATGATTCCAGCTAAAGACTAAATTATGATCCAGGCAAGAAGAACAAAATCCATCACCGCAGCTAGAAAGAGCATGTAATTAGTAAAATGTTTTAAAATGCGGAAAGTATAGCCCTGCTAAATTGGCAATTTTGTATTAATTTGTATTACGCGTGGCAAAATGCCCCACATTTGGGCCGAAAGTAGTGCATTTTCCCTCGCGTAATACAAATTAATACAAAATTTGCAAAATTCGAAGGGCTACATTTTCCGCATTTTACAACATTTCGCAACCAATGGATTTTATTCTTCGTGCCGAGATCAAAATTTAGTCTATAGTTGGAATTATCTATTCGCTCAACCCATCAGCTTGGATCAGATTTTAAAGATTTTAAATTGATCAGATTTTAAAACCTAATATAGGCAATGTTTTTATGAGCGACTGTTCATCATTAGTTGCAAACGACAGTGAAATGTCATTTAATTAAACGTTTATATTAAACGAGAGCGTATGAACTCTATGAGGTATTCTACGTTAAGCTAAAAAGAGTATTCTTTTCTCGTCTATGTGTCAGTTAGATTGAAACGATGACATTTGTTGACTCTCAAATTTTTGCTGCCAACTCTCGACTTTTTGCTGTCGACTCTCGATTTTTTGCTGTTGACTCCCGACTTTTACTCTCGACTCTCGAGTTTTGCTCCCGACTCTCGACTTTTACTCTCGACCCATACTCTCAACTGTCGACCCGCGACCTTTAGATACACTCCATTCCACGCGAGGATTATATCTGATCCATCTATATAAATTGTGTTATAAACTGTACTAACTGTAGGGAGCCCAGTGAAATCTACATATATACAGGAACGATAACTCCAGCGGGAATTGAAGCTCATCTTGTAGGCAATGAACTCTAGAGTTCACTGAGGGAGCCACCTTAAGCACGAGTCGGGGCGTAGGAAGTACCAAAAAATTGGGGGGGGGGGGCTGGTTTCGAGGGGCACTTTTCGAAAGAAAAGACACCCAAAAATTTTTCCCAGGAATTGTTGGCGACGTACCAAAATACAAAAATAAATTAAATGCACTCAGAAATCAAAGGCCATTGAGTAAAAATGCGATCTGAACGACATTTTTCATGATGTCAGAAGGGCACTTTGCCAACGGAAAAAGGGCAGGGGAGGCCTTGGCTTGCCCCCCCCCCCTCCCCCCAGGTTCCTACGCCCCTGTCCGACATAATTGTTGAGTTCAAGGATTAGTCCCAAACATGGCATTGCGGGGTTTTGTTATATTGTAAGATTTTATCTTGCTCAAAATCACGTCACGTACTATTCTGTAAAAAATTGCATCTAAATGGCATTTTATATTTACATTTGCCGCGGGAACATGCCAATGGTTTTTAATTTAAGCTGATGCATCTCCTCTTCTCTTATTTTAACTTGATATCTTCGCATTTTCTTTTGGTTTCAGATACATCAGAAAAGAAAAAGAAAAGAAATAACAATCTTAGCTAAATCGACTGGAACGGAACAGTAGAGAGGTTCTCAGATCTATATTTGACCTCTACTACCGCTACCTGTCACTGCCTTAGTACGCATCTGATTGGTCAATCGGATAGTTCAAATGCATCTGATTGGTTTATTGTTCATTAATGTAGCGGTAGCGGTAGTGGAAGTCAAATCTGAACCTCTATAATAAGACATCCTAGAAGACCTAGACCGGAAGGCTTAGAGAAATAATTTAATTTAATATTATTTTTGCACAAAGCATATTTAAATGTACATTATTTAATACTATGAATGTATGATGCAACCTCGTTCCCAGGGCATTTCCCTTGCGTATTCCCGCCCTCCCCCAAGCGAAGGGAAATGCCCTGGGAACGAGGTTGAGTATCATACACTGTAAATTTTAAGGAGTTGAATCAGCTCCAAAAGTGTTATTCTGTTAGTCAACGTTTTTGGAGACAGGATAACACTTTAGTTTAGGGTTCAAGACGCACGCATGCATCATAGACAATGAATGTTAAGGGTAAGTACTATTCTTAGATGCTTTCAATTTTGTAAACATAAAGGCTGTTTTTTAGGCGTTCACTTTGGTTTTATCATACACTCATGTTTTTACTATATTAACAAATTTATTCAGTACTGGAAAAGTTGAAGACATGGCCAAAGCATAAAATGTTGCAGGCATTCTGATCGCACATATTTTTCTGGGTTTTTTATTTCTACAAAACCTTATTCAAATAACGAGTAGACAAAAGACGGGTGACAACTCTCTATAAACAATAACTCGTCACTCACCAAACCGCAGAACCAAAAACTGCACGAAGGAGCTTTTGAAATTTGCGCGTCTTTCCTAAAAACAATGCGATGATTGCGATCTTCAACTACTGTTTGAACGTAATAGGCCGTTTGTCGAGGCATAAAAAAGTGCCTATAAAACGATTTTCATTTACCGTGCCTCGTAACTCAAATACTTTTACATAACTCACCACTTTTAAACATGGTGAATCTGAATCCGAAGAGTTCCCGCTCCGTAGACCCGCAGTATTTTTGTAAAATTCATGTTTATTTGCACTCTTTTGACGAAATTCCAACAATCGCCCGCCATTTTGTTTATTATTCCTCGATGCTTCGAATTAAATTGCATCGCTCAAATGTATGTTTACTCCGTACCAGTCTCTTCAAATTGCGGCCGCGTTGTCATTTAGAACGATGGGATGTTACTAGTAATGTGGGGGAAGCCCACTGACCTATAAAATATCTGGAACGCTAAAACCAGGTGAATTTTTGAAGCCAGCTTGATTTAGTTTTCCTGAGTTTTCAGTTGAAATTCTTGACGCCGAAGATCAGGCCGTATAATATGAACTTCGAGCTATTCAAAAGTTCTATTTGATATGAAAACGTCAAGACGTTAGGTAAAAGGGAAATACTTAAAACTTTTAGGGAATATTTTACAAAATGACGATTGTTTTCGTATTTTTTTGGTTAAAAACTTAAAATATTGAAGTTTTTATATAAAATATAACTTTTTAATAGCTTCATATACGGCCCAACGTTTTCAAATAAAAAGCTTAAAACCTCAGATGAACTAACTTGGCGTGATCATGATTATTGGGACTAGCGTATACCAGTTTGTATATTGTTCATCATAATGTATACTATTAACCTGAAGAGAGACTTAGTATTCGTCTTCGCTGATGTCACTTGAGGTATGATCTTGTTCATCGCGATCGTAAGTATCAGAATCATTTTCATCGTTTCCATCAACATTACCATTGTTATTCTTACAGCCAATGCACTTGCACAAATCTGAGCACTTCAGCTTTGCTTTCAGACAGGAACATCTGTTGTTTTGACAGGCTTTCTTGCATTTGCAATTTGCAAACTCCAGGACCGAGTCGGGGGCTGGAGGAATGGTCATCCAGTCGACTAAGACGTTGCCACAATCATCTAGTTTCCACCCGTGGTTGCAGAAAGGTTCCATGTTCAATAACGGTTGCGATGCATGACGCCAGATGTAGCATTGGTAGTTTGCTCGACTCACGTGCTGATCTAACGAATCCTGATTTGGTGGCATTGATTCTTCGTCGTATTTTCCACCCTTAAAAATTTGAAACCTAACAGAGTTGACGTCGGAGCACTCTTCGAAACCGTAAAGATGGCACACGTAACCATACAAGCCCTCCTTCAGTGGTGTCGATGCCGTGGCTTCTCTGCCGACGTTCCAGAAGAGATCTGCATATTTTTCTTTCATTCTTGCGATTTTCAGAGCAGTAACTTTGCCTTTACCGTAGAACGCACTGGTGGTATCACAACCTGGAGAAAAAATAATACAACTAAGAAAGAGTATAATAGAAATGTAACTCTATCGCATAGTTAATTAGAAATATATACAATATTTATTTTGGTAATGTTCAGTGTGTACCTGTAAATGCATGAAGGCCTAGTAGTGAACTGCACCATTGGTCTCCAAGAGAATGCCTGATTTTGCTGAGTGATATAATGCGTCTTCCATTACCCGTACCAGTTTCAAAATATATATCGGCATGAATGTCTAAGCAGGCGTTAAGCGCAATCAGAAACACATCTGTATCTGGACTCTTGATCATGATACTGGAGTAAAATTGAGAAGCGTGTCGTGCATGAGCAATCATCCGCGTATCAGCCTCTTCATGATCACAGCGAAGTTCTTCAGTATCATTGCACACCATCACGCCGTCCGACTGAGCAAACCTGTGGCAGCTTTCTTCGTGTGCTAAATATACTTCCACGCCCTTTAACAACTGCGGATCCGCTTTTTCCAGGCATCAAATAAGAGTTTCATCAGCTCTTCTTTGTTTTCGCCAGAAGACATAAACTTTTTCCACTGACGTGGGACCCGCTGTTGCTCACCATAAATGCGAATCACTTGGACGCCGCCCACAGCTCGCCTATCCCTCTCTAGATTCTTGATGCTTTGCCGCGGATAGCGGTCACAGACGAAATCCACCCGTTTGAAATTGGAATATACTGCAGCGTTGACAACTCTTATAAGTAGATCGATTGCTAGTTCACCAAATGTAACTGGAAGAACTGTCAACGTTTGCAACATTGCCATTGCATCTAGAATGTACGCCTTTTCTCCAACAGGAAGATTGACTGAACTACCTTGAACTTCCTCTTCAATGGCATGAAGTAATTTCGCCTTCACAGTTTTCACCAGATCTCCTTCGTTTGTTGCCAATGCGCGTGGAAATGGGCGTAGAGAATATTTCAGTACTTTCTCCATTTGTAGATGTCGACTCCTAGGAATCAGAAGCATTTTTGCGAAAAGAATTTTCGAGTTTTTCAATGCCACAAGTTCGCCTTTCTTACTCTTGCTCGTGACCTTCTTTCCTAAAACAGAGAATGTTTGTAAGTTTGTTTTGGTTATTGTTGAGTAGATATTCGGTTCTTCTCCAACAATATGGGTTTTCATGAATTTCAGTGCAGCACTTTCGCCCTTTTCTAGCATAGATCCCATGTCATTCACTACTGCAGATGTGGCAATAGTTCCGCTTGCTAAATGCACTAATACACCGTGGTCGTTCTCGAAGGGATTTATCATGGCTTCCATCGTTAGGGTGACATCCAGTACCGCTTTTTCACTCGCTTCTATCTTTGTTTTGTCCAAATCTTTTCTAGTCCTGAGTAAAAAGAGTAATTATAAATATTTTTGTAAATATGCATATTATCCGTTTGGTTACGTACTGAAAGGAAATTAGTGATTAAATCTACCTACCCTTCCGAAGGGTGTTTGTGGAAAAGTGGACTTTGACAAACATCCCTCGTTTGTAAGTAAATTTAGTGGTTAAATCACTCGGACAGGAAAGAACCCGAGGTGAGCATGGTAATACACTAATAATGCAACATTGAAATATTAAGTTACCTTTTAAATTCGGTTACGTTTGCCATGGCTTCGCACTGTCTGGTAATTGCACTTCTCTCTGCTTGTCCCATTAACCAACGATGCACAGCTCCTTTGTTCAACGTCATTCCTACCATACCACCTTTCATTTTAGAATCTCTGTACAAAAGAAATACAGCCTTCAAAATTCAAACATTTTCTGTGTTTTATATGTGAGGGAATTCTAACCTGTTCAGGGTTTGTTCAATCGTTTGATCACATGCCACGCCTGAGAACGCATATCCCTCTTGTCTTTGAACAGTCCAGTTATCTTCAATGTTTGCGGCCACATCTACCAAAGAGGTAATACAAAACAAAGATTGAAAGACAAAACGTATTAACATCCATCGTAAAGACACATTGACATTTGCAATTTGCAGTCCACTTACTTACTACACTATATGGGTCCGTGGCGTAGACAGCCCGCCGATTTGGTCCCGCTATGCAAATTTCAAATCACTAAATCGGCGGGCTGGCTACGCTACTGTATGGGGTACAAAATAGATTATTCGTGACATTAATCGTGCAGCTCGTCAGATTAGACAAATTGTTTTAAATGCAACATAAAAATCGATACACTTACATGGGTGAGTTTCCTCGAGGCACATCATTTCTAGCCAATAGCATGGTGCATACCGGGAATAATTCACGCGATCTGTGGCGAAAAACCAGGGGATCATAGATCTTAAGGAACTGAGATGGAGTGTCCAGTTTGATGTTCTAGTCGCTCGGATGTAAAGTAAAAGCAGCTGTACCATGTCGATATATTTAGACCAGAATGCAAACAGCGGGTTTTCTTTGCTTCGCTTCTTAATGAACAGCTCGTACTTCGTTTTTGCATCGGTGACAATATTGCTGGTGCAGATATCCACAAACATCTCCCTTTCCGAATCTTCTTGTACACTAATACCAATCGCGTGGAGTGGACTATTTTCTGTAGTTGGTAAAGATTTCTCAAAGGCTTGAAAACGTAACCTTTCCATCGCCTCATAGATGATTTTATGAGCCCTTATAGAACGGTTGTAATGTTTTCCAGACAGCACGCCATTCACAGATCCCGATGCAACCAGCTCTGATTCGATCATAATGTCCTGAAATTATACCGACATAAAATTACATCATTGGATATATTTGACCCAAACACGGACTGACACATTGACAGACAAAGACAGACTAACACACACACACACAAACTGACACACATGCATGCTGATAAATAGGAACAAGTGAAAACATAACTGAAAACTTACTTGTAGTCCTGCGTCTTTGAAAATTTTGGCTATAGCACTACAAAATGACATAATTGTGTGGAAGTCACCAAGGCGAATTACAAGTCGATTCTTTAACTCTTCATCCTTCCATCTTATCTGTTGAGCTTTGGCATATAGGGCTTCGTCGAATACTAACACAATTTCTGGCAGTTGAAGGCGAGTGCAGATAGAAACACTGTGTCGGAGTATTGTGTTGACTGTTGCTATGTCAGTAACTGGTGCATCGATGACTGGCAAGTAGCCAATTTTGGAAACCTTTGGGACATCTTTATAAACTTGCGTGTTGAATCCTGTCCATCCAGGTAGATTACCCCCTTGATCAGAGGCGTACTTTCTGGCTAACGTGTGCACAAAATCAGCATTCCTTGGCACGTCTTGCTCATGTCGATAGCTGTGCTCTTCAAGTGAAATGTCAGAACTGTGACTTCGGAGGGATATAGTTCCTTTCTCACGGCTAGTGTAAGGGATGATATTGGTTTCTGGTGCTTTAACGGTGCGGTTCTTCTTACTCACTGTGACTTTATCCCCCAATCTGATGTCTCCATTCTGCAAAATAATTCCATTTGCAACGTGCGTAGTTCCTTTACCCGAAACAGTTTCTTCATTGAAATCATTGTTGTCCCAAACGAGAGTGGCAAACACTCCCGGGTTGATATTCCGTGGTATTATGATTTCCTGTCCCTTGCTACTGGCTAAAGCTAGCCCAGTGTCGTGTTTGTAGACGGTGGATGTTGATGTGGTATGTCCTAAACCGTGTAGGATTCTGAGTAGTCGAATTGACCCGGTTATCTGTCGAACTGCCATTCCAAGGGCCAATGACTTGTGGGTTAGTTTCCTTCCTTTTGATTCCGCATATACCAGGTCTTGTGCTATTGATACCACTTTCGTTCTCTCGATTGGACTGATTGCTACCGTTTCGTTTTCAACCGGTTCGCACGAGAACCCCAGACACCACGCTAAAAAATTGTGAAGCTTTACTGGAATTGATGCTGTTGCTAACGCTAAAGTCAGGTCATGAGAGTCGGGCGGCCAATCAGAATCTACTCCTTTACATTCATTCAGAAGCTTTCTAATTTCCATGGCGACAGTGAACAATATCTGTAGTGAACAGTTTGGCATTGGAGGTGTCGTTCCTTTATCTTCGTGTTCACCATCTTCACCGAGTTTGCTGTGGTCGTTTTCACCGTCATTATCGTAATCATCTCCTTCATCTTCTTCGGTATCAGAATCACTCTGTATTGTCGTCATGTCATCCGCTACATCACCTGCCGTCAGGCTATCATCGTAGACCAGAGTTCCTTTATTCATAGTTTTCGAGCGATGGAAAACTAGGTATGGATAACGCGTTTGAATTCTCTTCCTAAGCCTAGAAGCTTTGTAGGGTACATCAACCATTTCAATTTCTTGTACACAGGAGGTAAATCTCTTTAACAAATTGCCAAGTAATAGAACTTCTTTATTCTTGATGATTCTCTTCTCGATTATTTCTAAACAAAACTTATCAAATGCTTTGTCATACAAGGTTGGACCAATGATCTTCCTTTCTCTTAAAAGGCATGCCGTGTACGTCTGGTAACATCGTTTGTGGTACCTGGCTTCAATAGCAACACAGTCTCTCCCACGGATATGAATGAGAATGCTTTCATCGTTCCTTAACAATGCCGCCTTCTCTAATCTTCCGGCCGTCACGGTTTGAGCCAATGATAACTCGTGTTTAACACGTTTTTTCGTTGCCTGCAAATATGAGTATTTGTTTCTGATGAGAATTACGGGGATATGAGAAAATAACAGAAACTCGATACAACCCCCCAGTATGAGATCTATATACAAAAAGTATATGGTGTCGGAAAAAAAATTAGGGGTTAGGGCAAGTTCAGGTCAGCCCCTCAAATCCTGTGGCCGTGCCTGATAACCATGCTGTACTATGTTTTTATAGAGACATTAAAATACTTTGGAGTAAATAAATTAATATTACAAAAACACATAAAAACATAAAGCAAAACTCTATATACCTTGTCTGTGATGTAGATCGGCCCATGCCGTTTACATATTAGACAAATCTCGGGCAAAACATTTGATGATCGAGCAGGAAAAGATTGTCGAGTAGTTCGGGTCACTTTTTCTGGTCTTGGACAGTTGGTCTGAGTATTGTCGTCGGCCACTCGCTTGCGATCGGCAGCATTAGTCAACGTAGTTTTGGCTCTATCAAGTTTACTTTTGTCTGTAAAACTTCGATAACAGGCAGGATGAAAGCAATATGTTTTCGCAATATTTTCCGGGTTTAAATCGTCAGTTTCATGAATAAACTCGAACGACTTTTTGGCGACTTCAGTAAAGGCTTTATACGAGGATGGCAGACTTAACCACTCCTTTCTTCTTTCCAAAATTCTATTCACGGTTTCACTTGTTAATTCTCTAAGCTCTCCGTCTTTACCCTCGAAATGAATGACACATACTCGATGAGAATCATCACTACCAGCACTGGAAGTACTTTCCATTTTGGATTTTTTTTTCGAATTTATTAACCTCCGTAAAAATACCTTGCCATCGTTCTAAATGACAACGCGGCCGCAAATTGAATAGACTGGAACGGAGTAAACACACATTTGAGCGGTGCAATTTAATTCGAAGCATTGAGGAATAATAAACAAAATGGCGGGCGATTGTTGGAATTTCGTCAAAGGAGTGCAAATAAACATGAATTTTACAAAAATACTGCGGGTCTACGGAGCGGGAACTCTTCGGATTCAGATTCACCATGTTTAAAAGTGGTGAGTTATGTAAAAGTATTTGAGTTACGAGGCACGGTAAATGAAAGTGAAAGATATTGGGCCACGACAAACGGCCTATACGCTTTACTTTGTCAAACAGCTATTTCAACTATAATAACGAGACGTACAAACAAATTCACGGTTGTGCTATGGGCAGTCCCGTTAGCCCTATTGTGGCAAACCTCTGTATGGAGGAAATCGAGGAACTAGCCTTTAACCGAACCGACACGCCACCTAAAAAATGGTTTCGCTTTGTGGATGATGTTTTTCAATCATCAAAAAACACGCTATTACTAATTTCCACAATTTACTGAATGCCATTGACCCACACATAAACTTCACTATTGAACAAGAACAAAACGGACAACTCTCATTCTTAGACACAATGGTAACCCGTAACAGCGGGTGTCTCAACGTTAACGTCTACCGTAAACCTACACACACTGACAGATACCTAGACTACAACTCACATCATGACAAACAACACAAGATCAGCGCAGCACGAACACTCCTTCACCGAGCAGCCCATCTCCCTAACACGAACGAAGGCAAGCAACAAGAGAAAGATCGTGTTTTTGTCGCTCTGAGAAGTAATGGGTATCCTAAAATATTTCTGGAAGAAGTCGAGAAGAGACGTGCAAGAAAAACAGAATTCGTGCCATCACCCGAAGAACTTGTACGTATGTTTTTCGAAAATGTCGAACCAGAGAAAAATTCCAGCTACGCAGTCCTCCCTTACATTAACGGCTCAACGGAACCCCTGAAAAGACTACTCAAACGATACGACATCAGAACAACAACGAAACCACTCCGAACATTAGAACAAGGCTTTCCGTCACCAAAGGACAGACCACTTCCCGAAAAACAGACCAACGTCGTGTACAAGATTAATTGCGCAGACTGCTCCTGGAGCTACATAGGTGAGACTGGTAGAGCTCTCGAAACGAGAAAAAAGGAACATAAAAGAAACGTGAAACAATGGAAATCCAGCTCAAACATAGCAAAACATGCTTGGACTCAGGACCATAAAATCAACTTTGATGAGTGCGAAATCTTAGACAAAGCAACCTATCGACACAGAGCAACAATGGAGTCCTGGCATACAGCAACCACAGCCAATTCTGACAACAATGCACAACATTTACCAGAACAATATAGATTTCTATTAAAAAAGAACAGATCATAGACATAGAACAGATCATAGACATAGTTTTATATTTATAGTATACTCGTTTCACTGAGAGTTTACGTAGGCGGAACTAATCATTGTTATATTGCATGTCATTATAATTGTAATTGTAAACCACTGTCCTTGTAGCTATATCCGTATAGAATAGTTTATTATCACTTTACCTGTCGAAGACTGCAGACTGGCAGTCGAAAGCTTGTGTTTCAAATAAAAAATTTACGATCGGAGAACGTTTCAGAAACTTTACCAACTTTATAACTTAAATCCCTACCATAACCCTTGCTCGTTATTAAATAACATACCGTAGTAAATAATTTAATCACCATTTCTAAGTCTTTTACTTTTTCGGGACAAAAAACTACTTGAAAAAGACCAGGGCTTTAAAAATTATTTGAAGTAGATAGTTACGATAAGACAGGGGTGGCGGCACCAGGGCCGCCCTTGCAGGGGGGGAGCAATTTTCAGCTCAAGGAGTGCCGGTAAATACAAATTTGCAAGGGGGTAATACAAATTTGTCGACGGAGGGGTGGGAGGGGAATTATTGTGGTTCACCGGGGCCCCAAAGATATAATTGGCCCTGGGCCCCCATATTTCACTGAGCTGGCCTGGGCTGTGCCAGTAATTCTCCGACAGGGGAAGTCATCGGTGCTCTCTTTCGTTTTTTGGCAATTGGCATTAAAACCACAAGAACTACCGACAAGTGACCAGGGCCGGATTAACGTCGCGCGAGGCTGGTGGCAGATTTTAGCGCGAGGCCCCCAACCCCTCCCCCCCCCCACTCTCCGCCTTGTTATGAAAACCTTTGAATTTAAAGACACACAAAATTGTTAAATAATTTTTTTCAATATTTCAATTTATTAGCATCAATTATAAACGAGACAATGGCCTGCCTGGCCCAGTTGTTGGGTCAACATGTATAAACAGGATCATAATATAACAGCTCAACGCAACTGGAGATTATATGCACACGAGTATTGCATATCTTCCCGGGGCCGTGCTGGGGCCAACTGCCAAGCCTAGGGACCCTAAATTCGCGAGGCACCTAAAATGGGTGTGTCCCAATAGAAAATGGCTGTGTTCTCGTAAAAATGGGCGTGGCACAGTAAAGCGCAATGCCCCCATAAGCGCGAGGCCCGTGGCATTTGCCGCATCTGACACATGGTTAATCCGGCGTTAAACGAGCAACAAGCTTCCATTTTTTTAAACGCGACGTGTGGGGAGACAATAATAATTTCTGGTGTCGCACTGGGGTAACATATCTCAATGCTGTATTTTTGGGTTACTAGTACTTGTGGAATATAATAAGATCAATAAACAATAGTGTATCAAAAGAAAGTAATTTTACTGATTATTTTAACTGAGCATCAAAGTGAACACACATTAAAATAATTATTCTAAACTATTTGCTATAATTTGAGTTTGAGATGGTAGAATATGTAATAAAATAACAAACCTTGTATGGATTAATGTTCATTTCACACGCACGCTATTAACAGCTGCTTAATAATTAACTTATGTATTCGTAAACATTTATACTTGATAGCATAGTCGATATGTAAAATGGTACATTATATGGATCAAACTGGAACAAAACAACAACTGAAGTTCTAATTTTGGGAAATTTAGTAGCAAATATAATCCCTAAACAGCTCATCGATTTGTATGTTAGTGCTATTAAAAGTAGACAATAATGAACAGTGATCTGAAGTTATTATGCAACTGACAACAATATTATATCTCAAAATACCTGTATATGATGATATTTTACAAATATATCAGGATTTTTGTACCAATTTTAAACTTAACAAGGCAAAAAGTCTCCATTCAAGAATATATCTTCTTCTCAAAAGGTAAAATACTTAGAATACTTGATTAAATTGTTTACTTCGACGGTATGTAAATTAACAGCGTTTGCTTGCAAGACGTCAAAAACGGACGATTTCAGCGCGCTGTCGTTTATCGCGTATTCATTTGCCCAAAGAAGTATTTACGTCAATTGAAAGCTTGTTTATTAAAGAGCCAACTAGTAGAAGCATGATCGATTTGGAGCTTTATACCATGGTGAAAATCGGTTTTGTTAAGAGGGTATCGTAAATGAAGTAAGATAGTGTGCTCCAAAACTACGATTATTTCTATTCCTAAAAGTAACTCAGATTTCTTGTAAGTCACGTACCCGATCCTTTCTTTGAATAACCGAAAACAAGATTTTTAGGGTTTTAGATCGATTAGAAACGGTTGTCGTCGTGAAATTTGTCGGTAAACTCAGCGCTTATTTTCCCAGACAAAATGGCGATTTAGGGTGGTCGTGTTAAAACGGCATTTTCTCAAAGTTAAAAAAGCATTTGGCC